AGAGCGGGAAGCAGAGCCATGCAGGAGCTTGTACTTAGCCAGCGTAGGATGCTGCAACCATTTGGTTTCACAGTGCAGTCTCATAAGTGCACTGTAAGTACCAAAGACTCTATTTTGTGCAGAATGAGGGAACTGTGGAGATGGGGAAAAGCCACTGGGTGGTATATGTGTGAGGATGACAGGGGCAGGAGGGGACAGGGGAGACAATTAAGCCTGGTGAAGAAATGCAGGGATTGCGGATGTGGGGTTACTGAGCCCCATCTTTCATTTACAGGAATGGAGTTGCCAAAGTGAATATCTTTTTTGAGGAGTGGAACTACAAGACCAATGGGGAGTCTCCAGCCTTCACGGTACACACTTTACTGCCATGTCCTCTCTAGCCGCCCATTCCCCCACTATGTCCCTCCATACTGGCAGGCATTTATTCCAGCAGCATTGCTGGCTATCGAGTCTCCTTTCCTGTGGTAGGGTGGGAGGAACCCCCCAGCACCACAGGGGCACCACTAGCAGGAGCAGGCAGGGAGGCAAAAGGCTCAAATGAGGGCTGTCCTCACTGCCCTTTCTCCGTCTCTTGCAGGTAGTGACTCTGCTGTCCCAGCTTGGGAACCAGTGGAGTCTCTGGTTTGGATCCTCTGTTCTGTCTGTGATGGAGCTTGCAGAGCTGATTCTGGATTTCGTCGCCATCACCTTTATCTTAGCCTTACGCTGGTTCCGATCCCGGCAGCAGCTCTCTCCACCGGGACCTCCTCCAAACAGTCACGATAACACTGCTTTCCAAGATGAGACACGAGGTCTCAGTGCTCCACACCGCTTCACTGTTGAGGCTGTCGTGACCATGCTGCCATCCTACAACAGCCTGGAACCACGTGGACCAAGCAGGGATGGTGAGGTGGGACACGAGTGAGGCAGCGGCTTATTCCACAGTTCAGATGGATAGCAGCTGGAGCAGAGGCTGCACACTTTCTCTGTAGGACCTGCATTTCCTTCTTTCTGGGGTTCTCTACCTGGACTATAGCAGAAGACTGCACTGTGGTTGGCTTGGGTTCATTGCTTTCACTACTGTAGGTGAATCCTTCCATCTCATAAAATACTATTGCTCTGGGGATCACCAGGGCTGAGAGTTGATCTAGTGTATGTATGGGGGAGATGTCCACTTGGTTTCCTTATGCTACTTGCATGTGCACACCTACACGTATGTGCGTGCTTTTCTTTTCCCTGCAACAAGGATGCTGCCACAGTTCTGGTCCGTCGTTAATTAAAGAGGTTTGGCAGGTGTGACTGGCTTCCTCTGTGGTACAACAATGGACAGGAATGGAGTCTCAGCTGGGTTACAAGTCTCTCTCACCAGGGCAGAGCTTTTTTAAGCTTTCCCTAAGGTTGGAAACTGGTTGCCCTTTCCTAGTTATTAATGTCCAGCTCAGATCCCAAGACCAAGCCACCCACCCTCTCCTCCCCCCGAGGAGAGGCTACTTGTATAGCACTGAGAGATGACAGCCACTGACATAATCTCAATCTATATTATGCGCAATACTCTGGAGAGGTGGTTGATGCTTGCTGTCACTCTCAGGGCAGGAGAAAACACCCCTGGCAGAATCCCTACTCCTGCGGGGGGGGTTGGACTAGATGACCTCTAGGGGTCCCTTCCAACCCAAAACATTCTATGATTCTATGATTTTTAAGCTGCCTGTGTGGCACTGGTAGATCTTAGCTGTACAGCAGTCTCCTTCCTTGTGATACACCATACACTGGTACGTTCAGCCGTTTGACCATTTGCCAGAGCATTTGGGATAAATTGATCTCCAGACAGGAGCTATGAAAACAAAGCAGCTATGCACACCCTCGAAAACATCCCAAAGAGTATCTCTGCTGCCATGAGATCCTGCAAAAGAGGATCAGAATAGCATGGATCATACAGTGCCTGCTCTGCTCCACTCATCCCTTTTCTGGATTGTGAAACACCGAAGTGCTGCAGGCTTCAATCCAAGATCCTTTCAGGGAAAGCTCTAGCCTATTGGGTTGGAGTGCATAGGCAATCAAGGCCAGGTCAAAGATGGTCCTCTTCCCAGGAACTAATTTGGGGATCTTCACATAAGAACACACATCCTAGTTCTTGCAGTAAGCTTGCCACACTACTTTTTACAAATACTCAGCCTTCTGCCGCAATGGAGTTTACGCAGCACTTTATGTGGTATCAAGAGAGCAAGGGTGATGTCCTTAACAAACAGGATTATCCACTTGACTGGACACAAACACAGATACCAGAATTTAAGCATATAGTATAGGCAAAGACCATATACCCAATCACATTGCAAACAGCCTCTTTTGAATTTAAAAGCTAGTTAATCATAATGAAAGAAAAACTTCAGGTATTTTAAAAATGAAGGTAGACGCACTGCCCTTGGGAAGCTGAAGGATTTTACTGCAGCATATGAACTGTTGCCTAATTCTTCCCTTTGAGATGTTAAACACGTGCTTGTTGTACTGCTCTTGCCTTGATTACCTAAATGCACTTGTCGCTTCCCAGCAGTGTGATTTTCTTTCTCCTCAGAGACATGAAGTCTATATTTTTTTATTACACAAATATTCATGGTTTTTCAAACTTTATCCCAGTGCTCAGCTGATATCCCTTGTCTGAAAGAGGAGAGGATGTCTCTGCTGGAATAAAAGCAAGCTATTTGGGGGGGGGGGGCCTTCAGCAAGGGGGGCAGCCCGGCAGGAGGGAGAGTCCTGCACCAACAGGCATTTAGAGGTGTGGTAACATGTATGCCCCCTGGGAGGCCCCCACTGGAAAAAGTCAGGACTTCTACAAACATGGAAAAAAAAATCCACTTTCTTTGTTTATGGGAGATTTTAAATGCAGTAAAAACCTGACACCAGACACAAAGCTGTTTGCTTCACAGAGCCAGGTCCAAGTCAAGAAAGGAAAAAGAGGAGGTACAACATCTAGAACAGTCTCTGTATATCATAAACATGCAATGATTTATATGTTGAGCATGATCTTTCCAGAATATCCAAAGAGTAAGGCACGATTCCTCACATCACACAGTACCTTGTGATAACCATAAAATTGATGTGGCCCACTGCATCATGCATAGTTAAGTGGATAATTAAGGAAGATTAATCAGAGGCATAACTACTTGAAAAATTAAATTCTCTTCAACATCATAAAGAAATATAGCTGTAGAAGATGATGTATTCCCTAGGGGAAGCTTGCACCATATTATCTCTCTCTTCTGTAAAAGTGTTAAAATGCAAAAAAATGGGCTTTGACTGATTAACTCGGGCCCCATTCTGGGTAGCTGTAAACCCAGAGTTAAAAGCCTGTACACACGTGAAGCTGTTAGACAAGTTGGTAAATAGATTAGTCCTCCCTGTCCCAAGAATCAGTGCAAAAATTGCCATGTTGGGAGAAATCAGGTGATCCTCCCAGGAACATCCCTACATTTCTTGTAGGCTGGCCAGACCATGAATTACCAGCTCAAAAGATGCATAGTGAGCTCAGTCTGGCTGAAAACAAGAGGCGAGTCCAGTGGTGCTGGAGTGAGAGTGCAGAAAATGGAGTCTTCCACCAAGAATGTAAAATACTACAGAAAAGGGGAGCAAGTGTACATTTAAAGGGATTTGTCCGTCAGCAAAAGGCAAATTAGAGGTCTGAGCTGAGGTGAATTGGTACAGAAAGAGAAAATTGAGTGGATGTAAATGCTCAGAACAAGTTGTGTCTTTGGACTCAGAGCATCTGTCTTATGGCGGGGGTGGCAAATAAATAGGATTACAAGTGCTTGGAGGGGGAAAGGAAGCACAGGAGAAGAAAGACTATTTTGTGGCTAAGTTGGAGAATTAGAGTGGGTTTTTTGGCAGCAGCAAGCAGCACAGAAGTGGGTAGTTCCACGTGCTTAAGGGGAAGAATGAGGATGAGAAAAAGGAAGGTTTATTCGACAGAGAAGTTACAGAGGAAGAAGAGGGATAAGTGTCTAGGAGCTTAAAAACAATAGCAGAGGATTTGTGGAAGTGTTTGGTGCTGCTGAAATGCAAGGAAAGAGAAGTGAGCTCTTTTGGGATGTAGAACAGAAGGGTATAAAGAGATGCGGTGTCTGTGGGAACACTGTGGTGGCAGACAGTTGATGGGGGCTAAGAACATTTGGACATCGTGTATTAGCAGAGAAAAGGGATGCAGACAGTCTGGGAAATTTAGGGATGCTGACATTTCTGAGGTCAACTGTGAGATCAGATGAATTTGGAGGATCCAAGAACCCCTGAGAAAGGCTGGAGTGTAGCAGGACTGGGGAAATAGAAACAAGTACTGGAAGAAAGGGAAGAATGGGCCAGCCCCTCCAAGAAGAACAAAAACTAAGCACAGGATGATTGAGAAAGCCAGGAACACAACGATGGAGAGCCACAGGCAGGCATACCCTGCTATCTGCTGAAAACTCATTCCTTAGAAGTGTGACAGTCACAATTAGACAGACACCAAAACTATATTTTTTTTTCTGTAAGAATTAAGGTAATACAGGACACGCATGGAAGTACAACATACATGTCTAGAGAAGCTAGAAAATGAGAAAACCACCACTTCAGAAAATAAGCAATACATTTAGAAGAACTAAACTCTGCTCACTGGAGCACTTAGAGAAGCTGGACAGATAGGTGCAAGGTTTGTCTGCACAGGTTGAGGTCAAACCTAGAAGGAACTTGAGGAAAGGGTTACCAGGCTCTTGAGACAGGTTCAATAAAATCTAAGGGGTGCAGATGTGCTACATCAAGAAATGAAAAGGGCAGCAGTGCTGTTGGTGAAAGGACAGAGGGGAACCACACAGATCAGGAATACACCAGAGGGATGGCTGTGTTCAGTCTTGCAGTTCTTTATACTTACCAATGTGCAGTATTTAAGGGGGTCTTGTGAGCACAAGAGAGGAAAGCGCCTTCAGCTTCCAAGTATACACTTAAAGGCAATGAACTAAAAAAAGCTTAGTATCTGGAGATTATGGCAAATTTATAAAAAAAATAGTACAAGGACTTTTGGAAAAGAAGTCTGGCAGGAGAGAACGTGAAAAGAGAGTGAGTCATTTTGGCCTCTGCAAGAATCACGTAGTGGGTCTGTGCACTGAAAGGATGAATATTATGAGACTGTTCGTATTGGAAACCCAGGGAGCAAATAAGGGTGTTCTGAATAACTATCTCTGGCAAAAAATAAAAATCGGTCAAAGATTATCAAAGGGCTGAAGTGCAACTTTATTTTGGCCTGTAAACAGGGTAAGTGTTGTGAAGGAACCCACTTACTTCTTCCAAGAGGAAGCATTGTAGGTAACCAGGAAGAAACACTGGATACATGAGTTCAGCCCAACAGGCACAGCTGAGGTGCCTATTTTGTAAAACCTACATCCTTATCGGTTACACATCTCGCAGAGTAATTACTTGCTTAGAAGTCAGAACAAAGATAAAAGCCCTTTACTTCCCCGTTATTGCCTCTCTTCACCAAGTTAAGGCTTCCAACCCCAGCGGATACATCTGGCGCTTCACAGGGAAGCCAGGTCTGTTAAACAAGTGCTGATGCTGCACTCCTACTCTGAAGAAATCTTTTGCCTTCCCCACCATCGCTCGGTTACTTTCCAGCTGAGGCAAGAAGACACCCACCACCGCCAATGAGAGCATGCAGCCTACTTTGATCAGTGCACAGAAACCTCATGAAAGGCCGGAGCAAGGCCATCTAGAAACACCAAGGTTTAAGACATTCATTGAAGAGCAGTATAGTTGAGGCTTTTCCCCCACCAAATCTGAAGGTGTCAGGATGAAGAAGTTGATATGGGAGCTGTGTATTTAAAGGCAGAGCTCAAATTTCTAATTAGGCATAAGAACTACTCTGCCAAAGTCTTGGCCTTGCTTTTAATGCACATTTAAAAAATGTTTTGTCCAGGATAACAGACTCGGCAGGAGCAGCAGAGGTGCTGCTGCTGCTTTAATGGACGGCACCTCAAAAAGTGAGTTCCCAGCAGGGCATGGTACTTTAAATACCTACCAGAGGATTTATGGTTAGACACGCAACTTTCTGCAAACTTGCACAACAGGACTCATGAGTTGGGCATAACCCCAGGGCAGCTTTCAGAAGCACATTAAGCCCAAGCTCTATGCTCCAGAGCAGCTGGCCAGCTTTGGAGAACGAGCTCTCAAGTCCCTAGGTTTGGATAGGAACTCAGATACAGTCTGGAAACACATCTGTTCTAAGAAAAAGTTTTTTCTACCCCCCTACACAAACAAGGATGAGAATTAACAGGAAGAGAACACACAACTTGGCAGGGATTGTAGCATGACTAGTTAATTCAGGTTGTGCAGGCCTGATCTGTGCTGAAGTTTACTGTACATGCTGCTTTAATCCACCAGCCGGTCCAGACACCCTCCTTTCCTAGGAAGGCTTTCATCTTTGAAAGAATTAGCCTAGCTGCACTGCTCCAGATTCACCCTTGACCACACATTGTTCTGGTATGATTCTGGTGATGTTTAAGACTGGACGAAGATTTGTCATAAGGGAACTACAAGCCAGAGCGAGTACAGTTTTAAAACCTGAAGTTTGTAACAGCAGGGGCAGAGATAGGGGCATAAGTACCTCATTGTAAAATGTCTGCACAAAGCTCCATCACTTCTTTTTAATGAGTTTCAAATGTACCGTCAAGCAAAACAAGGGGGCACTTACCTTTATTCCAGTCATGCTCCAAGATAAGCTGTGAACAGCATCCTACTCTTGGCGGTCACTTGGATCACAAACACATGTCCCAATACTAATGGAGAATTGTTTTTCTGGGTTTGAGGCTATGTTATTGAAACCCAAAGGCAGCATAGCCCAAGGAACTAGAGTTACCAGCAACACACCCTCCCATTCAGGGGACTACCTCCCCATGCATCACACAGTGGCTGGACATTTGTTGGATAAAAGTAGAGCTGGATTGGGCAGCCTCTTCCCACAGAGCTGCTGGTCCATACGTCTTGTTACAGATTTACCATGGAGTCAGTCCAGCACATGGTTCCAGTACAACTGGAACTGTCATCATTGCAATGGAAGACCATCCATTTGCCAGACCAAAAACCCATCAAAGCCAGACCACCTGGCTTTGAGGGCCAGAAACTCAGCTCTGTGTATAGAATGGAAGTGACAAAAAAAAAAGTTCCAAAAAGTTTGATATCCCAACTCCTCCCCACCCACTGACAGACCAGACAGACTCAGTTAAGGTGGTGAATTGTGTTTCTTAGAGACCATTTAAGTACATGGGCTGATTACTATAACATGCCAGAGGAGATTACAGTTGTGTTTATAGAAGAAGGAAATAAACTGCACGTGCGTGAGTGGCTGTAATGCTGTGGACAGCAGAGTCCCTTTGTTTTACTCAGAGGGCCTTAGTGATTTTTTTTTTTGCCCATGCACAGAGACACAAAGGAGGGGAAAAGGAGCAGAAGAGACAACATACAACATCTAAGAGAAAGAAATGGAAGAGACAGCCTAGGGGGACCTCAACCCCCAGAGGAACAGGAGTAATGGGGCACCAAAGGCTTGTTTGGAAGAGTTCAAGAGAACTGCTGGTCTGAGGGCCTCAAAGCTCGTATGCCCACCCCCTAAAATGATAGCAGTAAGTAGTACAAGCAGGCCCTGGCTCCTCTTCAGTAGATGCACTTCTGACCGTCCATCACATCTCAGTTCCACAGGGAATTAGGGGAGTGCTCAGGGGACGAGGGCTGCTTCACTCCAGATCTTCATCTCTGCCCTCACCCAAGGTGGAGGGGGATGGTATTGCAGGGAGATGAACTCAGCGCAAAATGAAATGCTGGGGCATGGAAGTGAGCATGCAAAACCTAGCCCCTTCCCAGATGCCCTGTGAGAAAAGGGGCTTCCCCAGCACACCCAAGGAAACAAAAAAACATCTGCTCCTCCCATCTTTTGTACTTCACTCCCATCTGGGAACTCCAGTAATGTTCTCCCCTGCCTCCTGGCATCATCTTAAGCCTAGAGAGATCCCAGCGGATTCTAGAACTGAGGTAGAGCTTCCTAAATTAAAGGACTGCCCTCTTTCCAGTCTAGATTACAGGCTACAGCTCAGCTTGTAAAAAAAGACAAGATGCACGTTCCTCAGAGAGACTCTGCAGAAACTGAGGAACAGGGAGCTCATTTATCCCCAGGTTTGACAACACATTCAAGCAATTCAGGGGTCTTGGGGTTTTTTTGGAGAAAAGGAGATTGCTTACAGAAAGCCACAGCATTCCATGCTGCAAGTTTACTTTCAGCAGAGACCATATTGGATCTAAATTCAAGAGAATCCATAGCACATAGGATTTCAGTTTGATAGGCAAGATCTCTAGAGATCTAAGCTGACAAACCGGGACATCTGATGTCGCTTTGCAATGCCCAGAGCAGCATTTCCCTTTGAGTCCCTAGCTAACCATTCTAAGTATTTTCTAACCCCTGCTAAAAGTTAAGGCTTTGTGGTAGCAGAAACAGAACGGGTATTCATAATCAGAAAGCTGCATGGCTCGTCCAGTCTTCTCCACCTCCATCTGCTATGTAGTGGACTTCCTTTGACATTCAACCCGGTAACACAAAAACAAAATGCCCATACCCATTCCCACTCCCAGTCTGCCACCACCCCAAAGCCTTCCAGAAAGCTACAAGATAGTAGAAAGCCACGAGGGTCCTGGCTTGTATGTGCATAGATGAAAGGAATATTTGACACACCACCCCAGACTCCTTACTGTTGTTCTTTTGTTCCTTCTGGCAGGAGATTTTACCCCTACACGTGCCTTTTCGATAGCAATAAAACTCCTTTCACTTAACTGTGTTTAGTCTGTTGCACTTGACCAAGATAATCATGTAGGCTCTCCTTTATAACAACTGAAATGGCCATGTTCAGACAGCAAGTCATCTGAAAATAAGGACAGGCAGAATAAATCATTTAAGTGCTCATCTCCATGGCTAGAGAAATCTAGATGACTACATCTAGCTCAGTCAGATGGCTCACAGTCACTGACCAACAAAAACTAGCCTTTATTTCAGAAGCTCAGTGAAAAGCTTAAGTCGTGCTGCCACTTTTCAGGCAGAACACTAAAGAATCTCACATGCTGAAGTCCTTCATCTGCGAAGGCACTGCATTAAGGCATTCTTATTTTGTTAGAGTCCACACAGGCACTATTTGACAAGATCACACCCAAAAATAAACCACAAAAATTCCCCACAGAAGAGCAGGAGCAATAGCTACCCACTCTTCTTCCCTTTCCGCTAAACTCAGATGACCCTCCCTAAAGCTGCAGCAGCTGTTGAAGAGTCCTTTACAGAAGACAAGTTACAACCAATAAAGAAATCAATGAAGAAGCTAGGTGGAAAGGAAGGGAAGGAAAGATTCAGGGGCAAGAAGAGACAGGCAAGGCGACAGGGGACAGTAGGCTGCAGACTGAAGGAGCTACATTCAAGTAAAAAAGTAGACTGGAGACAAAGCAAAAGGAAAAAAAAGGAAAGAACAAAAGGGCAAGTTACACCACAGGTCCCCCAGAGACCTCCAAATCCCCCACTAGGGAAGGGACTTGCCAACCCACCCACTCCAGGGTAAATGCCCCTTGATACTTACAGTTTTACCTGACCTGGCAGACAGAATTTCCCATTTCTGCAGCGATGGCCGCCCCCAATACCTTCCATTAGCATGTAAAGCATACCATTTCCACAATAAGTGTGGGAGTTCCAGGGCCACCACCTCCCTTCCCCAAGGACTGAAGTTAACACTTATGCAACCAAGACCCTCCAGATCTCAAACCAAAATGGAAAATTTTAAAAGTACTCTAGAGCTGGTGCTTCTCCACCTTTGATCCTGGGAATTTCGGTACTTACTTACAATCACCACCACCACAATGGCACAAATCACTCCCATCATGATCATCATCTGGAGAGAGAGATTGTCAAAGAATAAAACTCAGAACAGACTGACAAGTTCACATCTTTCCTGACAGCCAAGGAAGTTAAATCAGACCATGAAGGGAGGACAGCCAAGGCCTCAAAGTCTTCCCACAGCAAAAGAATCCCAAGCATTTTAAATAATTAAGCCTCAACTATCCTCCCAAAAGCCCTGAAGACGACTAGCCCAGTTTCCTTCTAATGAAGGAGATCATGGCACTAGGAAACTCACCTTGCAGTTCTTCCACCAGTACTTCCTTTTGAGTTTTGCTGCGCTACTTTCAAATTGTGAGGCACCAGCCTGAAGTGCATCTGCCCGGTCATCTAGCTCCGCCAGTTTCTGGTCTCGTTCCAGCACCTTGTCTACGTTTACACGAATTATATCAACCACCTGCAGAAGGAAGAACAGTAGCAGCAGCTGTACTAGTAAAAAGAGTTGAAAAAGTAAGAGCAGAAACTTGGCCAATAACTAATATTAAGATACTAACAAGCAAAAGCACTAAACAAAGGAAAAAAGGTCAGGATATGAAACAGCTTTCAAGTTGTTACCTGCTGTATTGGGTTTGCGTAGCAAGGTTTTGGTAGCAGACGGGCTACAGGGGTGGCTTCTGTGAGAAGCTGCCAGAAGCTTTCCCTGTGTCCACCACTGGCCAATGCCAAGCCAATCAGCAATGGTGGAAGCGCCTCTGTGATAACATATTTAAGAAGGAAAAAAACCTGCTGTAGAACAGTAGCTGGGGAGAGAAGTGAGAGGATGAGAGAGAAAACATCTCCGCAGACACCCAGGCCAGTGCAGAAGGAGGGGGAGGAGGTGCCCCAGGCGCCAGAGCAGAGGTTCCCCTGCAGCCCCCGGTGGGGCAGGCTGTCCCCCTGCAGCCTATGGAGGCCCACGGGGGAGCAGATCTGCACCTGCAGCCCAGGGAGGACCCCACAGGGGAGCAGGTGGATGTGCCCAAAGGAGGCTGTGACCCAGTGGGAAGCCCATGCTGGAGCAGGTTCCTGGCAGGACCTGCGGCCCTGTGCAAAGGGGAGCCCAGGCTGGAGCAGCTTTGCTGGCCAGGCTTGTGACCCTGCGGGGGACTCATGCTGGAGCAGTCTGTTCCTGAAGGGCTGGAGCAGTTCGCAAAGAACTGCAGCCCATGGGAAGAACCCACACTGGAGAAGTTCGTGGAGGACTGTCTGCCGTGGGAGGTACCCCACACTGGAGCAGGGGCAGAGTGTGAGGAGTCTTCCCCTGAAGAGGAAGGAGCAGCAGAGACAAGGTGTGATGAACTGACCCTAACCCCCATTCCCTGTCACCCTGTGCAGCTCGGGGGGTGGAAAGAGGTAGAGAATTTGGGAGTAAAGTTAAGCCTGGGAAGAAGGGAAGGGGAAGATTCAGGGGGTTTTTTATCCTCTCCTACTCCAATTTTATTGGTAATAAATTAAACTAATTTCACCAAGTTGAATCTGTTTTCCTCATGACAGTAATGGGCAAATAATCTCTCCCTGTCCTTATCTTGACCTTCGAGCCTTTCAATATACTTTTCTTTCCCCTGTCCTGTTGAAGAGGGCAGTGATAGAGCAGCTTTGGTGGGTACCTGGCATCTAACCAGGGTCAACCCATCACACCTACTCTGAAGTGGGGAAAAAAAAATCCTAGAAACCCTGCTAAAATATCAGTTCAAGTACACTTAAACCAGGTCCTCAGCCCCACATCCTCACTTGTTTTTAAAAGCTCTCAAACCCAGCAAGCCTAAGCCACCCCCCTCATGAGAGTAATCAGATGCTCCCTCCCCAGTAACTGCAGAGATAAACTTAGAGCTACATGTTGCTGCCACAATGAGGCATAAAGGCGTTAGTGCATGGCAGCAGCCCCACTACACCGTCCCCGGGGGGTCAGGGAAGGTTCCCCCACACACCACGCGTTGAGCCTGCACACAGACTGCTCCCTTGAAAAAGCAGGCAGGGATTAAGAGGTGTTCTGGGTGCTGCGTAGCTTTATTTCCATAACAGATAGACGACACAAGGTATGAAAAAAAAAAAAATCTAACAAGCCTGCTCCTTAGAAGTCAAATCTGGAACTAAGCCGCTTTTAAGCGTAACGCAATTTCATCTCTCCTCCAACCTCCTTATAGGTCTGCCACCATACTTTGATTATTAATGCATTTCTGGTATTGGCACGACGAGAGCATCCACCCCCTCAGCAACAGACGCTCATCAAGAGCATTGCTGCTGCAGAGCAGCGGGAGAAGCGCCCGGGCAGCCCACGGGGAGCCAGCACGGCCGGCAGAGCCACTGACCTCCTCCACTTGGGCCTGCGTCTGCTGCAGCCGACGGTTACTGCTCAGATTGGGGGATGGCCCAGGGGGACCCCCGGGGGGGCCCCCACCGGGGGCTCCCCCTTCTGGGGCCGCGGGAGCAGGTTGCTCAGCTGGGTCAGACCTAGGGAAGCACACACAGATGGGCAAAGAGAAAACCCAGTCAGCCGCGCAAGGAGAGGCATCCCAACCCCCCCGAAATCCACCTGAACCCCAGTGCCAGGGCAATGGCAGCAGCAGCCCGCGCACTGCCCGGATCCCCCCCGGACCAGGAGAGGGCGAGCTCGGGGGGAGCAAGGCCAGGCCCAGGAGGGCAGCGGGGAGCGCCG